CAATATAATTTAAAAAGTAATATTACTGATATATTTGCTATAAATCACATAACAGTATTTATTAAAAGAAATGAAATATTAATGTATATTCTCAGTAGTTTTAATTTGCTAAACCAGGTAGTTTTTCAAGTAATAATTGTCTCTTATGTGAACTGAGGAAAAATATAATTTCCAGCTTTATTTTTTCAATTGGTAATTTTTATTTTCACTAAATGTTAAGTATCAATGTAATCATTTATATAATAATAGATTAGTACACAATTGTATGTCAACACATTATTTATTACCTTAAACTGTCTGGAATTTATTATTAAAGGGTTGCACTTGCGTAAAATTTACTATCGTGGAAATTCAGCTTTTTTGCCTTTCGGCTAATCTCGTCCCTGTTTATTGCTAAACTTGGTAGTTTCTTTCTTTTAAAAAAAATAAATAAATAAAAGCATTAAAATCCAAGATTAGTAAAAATTTATTAAATTAAATCCAAGATTAATAAAAATTTATTAAATTAAATCCAAGATTAAAAAAAATTTATAAAATCCAAGATTAGTATTGGGTATAAAAATTTAGCCAGTTGAAACATTTTAACAAAATACAGTAGAAAATGTTAAAAACGCAAACTGAAACATAAAGCTTTGTGTTTTATGGGATTTTTTGTTATATAGATTAGGGGTGCACAATCTTTTTGAGTGAAGGGCCACTTGCACAACAGGTTGACTTACAAAGGCCCGCACACGTATTTAGGCATGTTAATGGCAAATGTAGTAATATTTATTTAAACATTAGGGATCTAATTTTTTTATCAATAAACTTAGTAATATATTTGTAGAAAATTAAAGGCATTCAATTATTAGAATTCATTCAAAAATGAAAAAACTAATACTTTTTTTTAAAATTTCCATTTTTATCTTATCAAAACAAGATTTATCAAAATGAACAAATAAAGTTATTAAACAAACAATGGAGAAAAGAAATGGTTTTTAATCATATCATGCAATCAAAAAATTCATTTAAAATCTGAATAAAAAAAAACTGAAATGCTTTCAGGATGGAAGTGGGAAGAAATTTAGTACATATGAAGCAATATAAATTCAAATTAAATATTTTAATTGAAGAAAATTATAAAGTTCAAACAAAAGCCTAATATATAAAAACAAAACTGTTATAGTTCAAAATAAAATTCAATGCTTATTTACTTTATTATTGATTATTAGATTTTTTTTTTATATAGTAAACGATTTCTTTTTTTTACTGAAAAAGATCACTTAAGGAAGAAAAAAAAATTTAATTCAAAATTATAAATAGTGAGTAGTTTAAAAATTCACATTTTCTGCCTCTGTCAATTTCTCAGGTTGCAATAACATTGCATTTAAATTAGGGATGTAACGTAACAAGTATTTGGCCCTTTTGTTAAAAATTCAATTGATTGAGTGATCGGCCAAATATTCAGCAGAATATTTTTAAAAAAAAGTATTTTTTAGTTTGTTTTTTTTAATTTGTATAGATAAGATAAAGAATATAAAATTGTATTTTTACATATATTATTGCATTGTTTGTTATCAGATAGTTTTTGCACAAATTTGTTAAATTTTAAAATCTATGTTTCTGCACATAGCTTGCAAATTTTTCTTCTAGAAGACAAATGTAAAAATGAAGTTTGAAGAGTTAAAACTACTTACTTTATACTGAACCACAAGTTTTTGCACTTCTACTTTTTAAAAATTTTTTTTTTATCTATTCAAGCAAGTCAATTTTGTCATACTTTCAATACTTATAGTTAAAAATTGACAATGATTTTTTTCTTCATTTTTGCTGTTTTTA